CAGACTATCACAGTGAGACCGGGGCACTGATAGTGGGTGACCCCGTGGTTGGAAAGGTGATTTACAAGGGGAGGTGCCGAGATATGATACCATTGCCGTGTGCAAGAAAGGAAGCAGAGATGATTGGAGGACTTCTTGGCGTAACGCCTTTGATAGGAGATTCCGCGACAAAGCATTCTGTACTCCAAGCGATAAATTCAGTGAGCCTGATACACATTGCAGCCCATGATGATGCCGAAAGAGGGGAGATTACTCTTTCTCCTAGGCACCCTACCCTACTCCCACCTTTTCCTCGAGAAGAAGATTATCTTTTGACGATGGCAGATATTTCAAAGACTCGGTTGCGAGCTAAACTAGTGGTGCTTAGTTGTTGTCACAGTACTCGTGGACAGATTAGAACCGAAGGAGTAATTGGAATTGCCCGAACGTTCATAAGATCCGGAGCTCGTTCAGTGTTGGCGGCACGATGGGCCCTGGATGACACAGCCACAGAGCAGTTCATGACTTGTTTCTACAAACATTTGTTCCGCGGTGAAAGCGCCAGTGAGTCTCTCCACAAGGCTAGGAAGTGGATGAGAAATAACGGCTATGACAAAGTTTCTCAATGGCCACCATTTATGATCATGGGCGACAACGTGACATTTGATTTTGGAAATTGGCCGGTGCCTAGCGCACCTTAAGAGCCATGACTTTGATAAAACCTCTGTAGCAGAATGAACTAGATTTAGTAAAGCTCACAACTATTTAATTACAAGCCTGTAAAAATAGGACGCCATCTGCGAAGGGCAACTTGAATCGATACACAGAGGAAAGCATTTCTGTAAAATGCTTATCAGACATCTAAGTTTATTAATTTGAAACAAGACAGCGTGTAGCGTATCTCTTTATAAGAGTTCCGATGAGTTAGTTTAAGTAGGAATTGTCCACCAAATCTTCGAAAATTTGCAAAAACCTGAAATAGGTATTTTCAGACAGCCCACTTCTTTTGTTTTCTTTGTTTTCTATGGATAAGCCTATAAATCATTCAGTGTTGAGGTAGATAATAGTTTTATTGGAAACTCTGTGGGAGAAAACGGCTGTTCAATCGATGGACGTGAAAACACTCGCCTCATTATCGTTGTTCTC